AAAGAACAGCTGCTTAGTAAATGAGCTGCAGGGTCTCTCTTGGGCTTTATGGAAACCGATGAAGCCTAGACTACACTCAACTTACTCAACCACATTGAAGAGCAGATTGATGACAGAGCTTTTGAAGAAGATTCATAAACAGTCTTTTAATACCTAAAGTCAATATCACTATGCAAAACAACCAAGGACACAGAGCTTGTGGGTAATTTTGACTTGTACAGCAGAGCTGATCCTCTTTTCTGGCATCACCTGACAGAAGGCCGCTGAACACAGACTGGATCCTTTAAAAAAAAATTATTGGATTTTAACATATTATAGAACAAGAAAATATAAGGGTAGGAAGTAGTGTTCCCTCTAAGCTGAGTTAGTGTGAGCTAGCTCACAGTTTTTTAGCCTTTGGCTCACACGTTTTTGTCTTAGCTCAGGAAGAATGGCGCCAGAGCAGACTAATTTATACAGTAGCCAAATCGCTGGCACACAACTTTAATGCCGGTAGCTCACAAAGCAGAATTTTTGCTCACAAGACCCCACAGCTTAGAGGGAACATTGGTAGGAAGGGTACAGGGTATGGGATAAGAGATATAGGAGTATTTTCCCACCATAGAGAACAATGGATGGGATAGGGGCAACCTGTTTGGGGGCCCGTAGAATTGGACCCCCTGGTTCAATGTTCCTGAAACATGGCGGGTATCTTGGGGAGAGGCTCCAGCAGCTACCCTGTGATTTTGGAGCCTCTCCCTCAAACTCCCTTTCCTCCAGTCCCCAGAATATACCCTATGTTTTCGCCATTTACTTCAATGGCCCATAGGATATAAAGGGGCCGAAATTGACATTGGCCCTTTTTCAGGCCCGGTGTTCTAGCGCAGAGCCTGAAAAAGGAGGGGGGGCGAGGGTGGCGGCTCTGCAGGCCGGTTTTCAGGCACGGAGCCTGAAAAAGGCGGGGAGGACAGCTCAGCAGTCCTCCCCCCCCCATTGCAGCTGTCGCCGAAAGCGGCGGAGCCGGGGGCCATAACCTTTTAAAGAGCCCCTAAGGACAGCTGGGGGAGCCAGAATGACCTCTCGCGTATGATGTCGCCATAACTTTTTAAAGAGCCCCTCCCGAGAGCTAGGGGAGCCAGAATGACCTCTCGCGTGTGATGTCCGAGCGACAACACCGCTCGGACATCACACGCGAGAGGTGGAATTTGCCCCACGAGTCCAAGACCACCACCCCGGGGCTCAGGGAGGCAAGGGAACGTTTCGGGGGGGGGCCCGCACGGGCGACGCAGCTGCCGCCCAGCTCTCGGGAGGGACGTTTTAAAAAGTTATGGCCACCGCCCCGTGGCTCAGGGAGGCAAGAGAACGTTTCGCCCCGCTCCCCGCACAGGCTTCGCAGCTGCCGCCGACAACAGTAGCAGTGGTCATAACTTTTTAAAGAGCCCCTCCCGAGAGCTGGGAGAGCCAGAATAACCTCTCGCATGTGATGTCCGAGTGGCATCTCACACGCGGGAGGTGAAATTTGCCCCTACGAGTCCAAGGCCACCGCCCCAGGGCTCAGGGAGGCAAGGGAATGTTTCTCCCCACCCCCTGTGCGCGGGCATCGCAGGTGCCACAACTTTTAAAAGAGCCCCTCCCAAGAGCTGGGGGAGCCAGAATGACCTCTCGCATGTGATGTCCCAGCGGCATCACACGCGAGTGGTGGAATTTGCCCCTACCAGTCCAAGGCCACCACCCCGGGGCTCAGGGAGGCAGGAGAACGTTTAGCCCCGCACGGGCGTCGCAGCTGCCGCCGAGAACAGCAGCAGCGGCCCTAACTTTTTAAGGAGCCCCGAAGGAGAGCTGGGGGAGACAGAATGATCTCTTGCGCGAGAGGTGGAATTTGCCCCTACGAGTCCAAGGCCACCACCCCGGGGCTCAGGGAGGCGGGGGAACGTTTCGCCCCCACACCGTGTCCCAACTGATGGCTGGTGGGAGCAGGGGGTGGGGCTTATGTGCCAGCCCCCCCGCCTCCTGGGCTCCTGACTGGCGGAGGTGCACTCCGGCAGGAACGATGGCCAGCTGGCTGGTGGGGGAAACCTCACCCCAACAGTTATCCATGGCCCCACTTGAAAATTCATGACTTACATGGCAGGTGCGCATGGCGCCCATTCTTTTCGAGTGGGGGCTGCCCGCTCCTGCCCTGCAAGTGGTGAATTGGTGGCTTGTAGGGGAGGTGCACGTGGTGCCGGCTTCCGCCCCAACCATTTAAAGGGAAGGTTTTATTTTATAAAATAAAATGGTGGGAGGAGTTACAACCAGAAATGTGTTAATGTGAGAGCCAGTTTGGTATAGTGATTAGGAGTGCGGACTCTAATCTGGGAGAACTGGGTTTAATTCCCCACTCTTCCACATGCAATTGCTGGTGTGACCTTGGGTCAGTCATCTCTCAGAGCTTGCTCTCAAGGGCAGTTCTCAAGAGAGCTCTCTCAGCCCCACCTACTTAACAAGGTGTCTGTTGTGGAGAGGGAAATGGAAAGGAGATTATAAGCCACTCTGAGACTCCTTCAGGTAGTAGTGAAGGGCAGGGTATAAATCCAATATCCTCCTCCTCCTCCTCCTTCTAATTGAGATTACTATTAGATTTATCTCTTAATATGGCTAGCTTTACTTCCAGTGTTAAAGGACTGAAACTCAGTTGTTAAATGATGTGTAACAGCATACAAAATCTTTTTCTTTGTATACCTCTACTGTTTCCCGGCCTCAGAGTGAAAAATTTTCACACACCCACATACCGTTCTACCCTTCTAACTATCAACCAAAGTTTCTATAGAAATGTTCTGATTAAAGACAATCAAAAACATTCTGAAAATCCTAAAGTATAAAAGAGCCCATCAGATGTTTGTATGTTGTATGGATGACCAGAATGGATAGCCAGAACAGAATGGCCCTAAGAAGAGTATAACGAAATAACGTCCTGATAATTTCTTTACACTTTGCTGCAGCACTTTCTTTGTCCTTTTTCCTCAAACACCTAAGCCCATGTTAGAGAGAGAAAGGGGCAGCTGTCAAGCTTGGGGGGGGGACCCTCTGCTCCCTGTCTCCTTACCACCTTGAAAGTCATATGTTTAGGGCAGTGATATGAAGGACAAAGAACTTGGTCAGTTGCTATGGAGAAACACCCCTTCATTAGGGAAGACCTTAAACAACACTGGCTGATGCTTGCTCGCTAGTTGAGCCATCCCATTTCCTGTTAGTGTGGCATGAATGTTTGTTTTGTTCTTTGCCTTCCACGGAGCCTGCACATCTAGCAAGGTAGATCACATGGGATTCCCAGGGCTCCTGTGCAAGCACTGACCAGAACTGCTTAGCATCACTGAGAATGCTGCAACATGCACCCTATACAGAGCCATGGACCTCTCTACCATATGTTCACCATAATCATTTCCCCCATATTAGTGACCTTTTTGTCTTATGCCTTTTAATTACCGTATCTGTGCTCTGCAATGTATTCCCTTCTCAGATGATGTGAATGTATGCTTTTACTTATCAAACAGCTTGGCTATCTCACTGAGAAATACTGTTTTACCCAATAACTATCAACCATGCTTCTGTACAGTTTTGAATACTCACAGCCCAGTCCTGCATGTTTACATGGGAAGCAGTCCTTCTCTGAACAAACTCCAACTAAGTGTGCATGAAGCCATAGCCTTTGCCTTCCAGTAAAATAAAACATAAACCCAGTGGCACTTTTAAGGATGAACAAAATGTATTCCATCATAAGCTTTTATGAGTCGGAGCTCTCTTCATGAGATGAGCTGATGGTGCTACTGGGCTTCTGTTTTATTTTCCTGCTACAGACTAACAACACAGCTATCCATATGGAGTCTTCAAGTAAGTGATCTTGCTTATCATTATGTATAGAAACAAAGCAAAATAGAAACCTGCCTCTTGTCTCTTAGCAGCCATAATTGTGCAGTGTAAAAGGCTTGTGTGAGCTGCTTTGTCAATGCTTTTTTAATTATGCTCCTAAACTGCATAAGTGCTGTTGCAAGCAAGTCAGCCTATGTTTAATATAATGGGAAACAGTTATGTATATAAATTTCATAGCTGAAAACGTGTGTAAATCAGTGGTTTAAATCAATCTTGTGTGTGTGGTGGTTTCAATTGCATTGAATCAGGGCTTGCTGTTGTTTTGTGATGTAGCAACACTCTTTGATGCTAAACCCATTTCCTTCCCAATGCGGAAAGGCTTGCCATAACAAAATCATGTGTAACAAGATGTCATGTCAGAAGTCACCTTGCTGAAGACACTTCCAGCAGTAGCACAAGGGTTCACAGTAGATCACCTTTTCTAAAAAGCTAAGCTAATGTGTTATCAGATGGTCTTGTCCAGTAGCACCCTAGGGAAGGGAACAAGGAGATTTTCGGAGTATATAAGCTTCCCAGAGTCAAAGCTCCCTTCCTCAGATATCTGTTCTCACATGGGAAACTTAAAAACCTTTGTTCACATTCCCCGTCTTTCTAACTCCAACGGCAACAATGGTTTCCCTCTCCTTTCCATCCCCATTAGCAATAATTGCGCAAAACTCATTTTAGCCGAGGGCGTTGTTTTATCCCTCCTCGGGGCAAAGAAGCAAAAGCGTGTGCCCTAGAGCGGGTGGCGAACGGGATCGGGAGCAGGTGCAAAGCAAGCAGGTCCTGTGCTGGAGAGGGGACGGACAAGAAGCTGCCCACTGTTCCCACTCTATGTTGTCGCCAAGCTGGCAGAGCCCAGTCTGCTCCTCCGGCCATCAAGGCTGTAGTGAAATTTCTGAAGGCTACAGCAGGCATTTCTGGAGCTCGGCTAAGTCCGAGCGCAGCAAACCCGCCAGCCACAGGCTCGGAATCGATACGAGGCGCTCAGCCCCCCAGCCACAGAGCACGGCGCGCCTCGTTTCCCACCAGCGTCTGTCCGTCACTCCCTCCCTCCTTCCTTCCCTCCCTCAGCCAGGCAATTACTGTCGCGCTCCACCAGGGTGCTTCAGCGCCGCGGATTTAACTCGCTGCCCCCCCTTCGCGCCCTGGAGGCTGGTTCCCGCCTTTCTCTTTTCTCCTCGCCTCCCTGCGCGCACCTGCCAAGCCCGTGCAGAGGAGGAGGCAAGGCGAGTCCGAGACAGGGCGAGCCATCGCGAAGACTGGACGCCCGCCCGCAGGGAGGGAGGTTGGCTGCCCGCCGCGCTGATAGCAGCCCATACCCTGCGGACCGAGGGGAACATGTGAGCTCCCCCCAGGGACCAGTTCGGAGTGGAGCGACCAGCGCAGCGCCGCCTCTGCTCCCGCCGCCATGGGGCTCCCCCTGCTGCTGGGGCTGCTGTTCTCCCGAACCGGTAATGGGCTGGGAAGCCAGCACGGTTTGTCGTGATGGGTCCACCGGGGTAAGGCGTCGTCCCTGGGCTTGTTTGCCCGGGAGAAGATCCCTCGGTGTGCGCGGAGGTTTAGGATTGCGCTCCAAGGGTCTCTCGGAATGGTGTGTGGGGGTCTGGCGGGGTGGCGCAGAGAACTGGGCGCGGGGGGGGGCGCTTTTCAAAGAGGAACCCCCCTGCCCGCCTTTCTGGTGCAGGTTACGAAAGAAACTGCTTGCCTGGCCAGGACTCTGGCTTGGGTTATTTGCCCAGGTCTGGCCCCCTCGGACTGATCATCGCCTTTCTCTGGTCTCCCTTCCAGAGGCAAAACTTATGCACCGCTTCCTATGAGGTAAGCCCCACAACGGGACTTACATCCGAGAAAGCATGCTCGCTTCACAATCGGCTGGGACATGCGGTCCCGAACTGAACTCTGTCATGGATCTGCAGGCGGTGACCGCGAACCCTACCCCCTCCCTTGCTCGTGTGTTCGGCATCTGACGGGGTTATTGACGAGTGCAGGAAGGGAGGGAATTCATGAGTTAGCTCCTCTCATGCAGGGAGGGAATTCATGAGTTAGCTCCTCTGGGAGGGACTGCGAATGCGTCCTATCCCGCCGCTTCCTAAGGGACAGGGAAAGTTCCTTCAGTGGACGATGTAGCTGTTCTACAGGAAGGTTCCTTTCCCATCCCAGTTGCTCCATCGAAGAAACTTTTAGCAAGTTGGTGCCAAGCCATCAAGAAAGAAGGGGAGGGGATGTTTTTCTTTGGTGAGATACTAGAGCCATTTTGAAACCCCTAGAAACAACTCCAGGGCAATGCTTCCTCTAAGTTGTGGAGTCTTGTGAGCAAAAATTCTACTTTGTGAGCTTTTGTGAGGAGCGATTTGGCTACTGCATAAATTAGTTTGCTCTGGAGCCATCCTTCCTGAGCCAAGACAAAAATGCATGAGCCGGAGGCTAAAAAACTGTGAGCTAGCTCATATTAACTCAGTTTAGAGGGAACACTGCTCCAGGGCAATTTTACTGGATGTTTCAAGGATGTTTTCACTCATGATCCTTAATTATTTATTTACTCCATTTATACCACACCCTCCTCCACAATGGGGACCCAAAGCGGCTTACATCATTCTCATCTCCTCCATTTTATCCCCACACAACCCTATGAGGTATGTTAGGCTGAGTGTGTGGGACTGGCTCACAGTCACCCAGCACATTTCCATGGCAGAGTAAAGATTCAAACCTGGGTCTCCCAGACCCTAGTCTGCCACTCTAACAACTACACAACACTGGTTGTCAAATTTTATCATCTCTAGAGAATAATTTTTTTTAAAAAAATGTAATACATAAAGCTGGTGTAGGATTTTGCTTTGTTTTTTTTTAATGTCATACATAAAGCTGGTGTAGGATTTTGCTTTTATTTGTATCTGCTTGTAATCTAACTCTAAATCCTATGTTGGCTAGAATGTACATTTGATTTTTCTCCTGTGATTTCACTCTTGTCCTTAAGGTGGTGTGGAAAGCAACTAGGAATAGCTATCTCCATCTTGTTATGCCTGTGACATTCCCAGGGGAATCTGGGTGGCTGCTGCTATTGGATTCAGAGTCCTGGATTAAAATGATCCAGTCTAACAAGAACTTAAACTCATGCAGAACAAACGGGAGAAGAAGTCTATTTTTAACTTAAGTACATATTCTAGTCAATGTGGGGTTTAACATTACATTGCAAAGCAAGAAATGCAAAACACTTCTAGGGTATTTTCATACATGGTGATCATAACAGTAATGTTGTTTTTGCATGTCCCATATCTGTAATGCAAATATAAAACATACATGGGCTAGAATAACAACCTTCTACATTCCTTCCTTCATTAACAGCACTGACACTGACACTTTGCCCCTTGTAAGCCGCCCTGAGCCCGCTTCGCGGGGAGGGTGGGGTAAAATCTAAATAAATAAATAAATAAACACATATACTTACTCTAAATAAGTCCCATTGTCTTCAGTGGGTTTACTATTAAACATGCAGTGGATTGCAGTCTTGTTTAAACTTATATCTTACACTCTCTCTGTGTAGTATATACTTGAAAGGAAGATGACCCTCAATGTAAAATGACCCCCTTAAAATGTTATACACACAAAAACATTTATTAATGGACATAGCTGTAAGTGGCTGCAGACATAAGATGACCCTTTCTTTTTTATGTTATACCTGAGAGAAAAACTGGTCTTGCATTTGAATAAATACTGTAATATAGATGTTTCATATTATTTTACTCTGGAAATAATCTCATGTGAACATGTTAATCCAGAATGGTGCTTCCACCCATAACAAAACACCACTGATATCTTGTTAATATAGGAATAGAAATAAATAAAATACCTTTCTGGCAATTTTTTTTGGGTGTGTGAAAAATAATAATTGCACATTTAATAGTTGTTGCAAGGAAGCCCAAGTATTTTCCTACAATGGCCCAGGATTAGGTAACAGTACTTTAATTTAGGACTAATATATAAACCAGAATGCAATCATTAAATTAATTTTAGGATTATAAGTATACCAACCCTGTTTTTCTTCCCCCTAGGGCTCAAAGTAGCTTACAAAACTGTTTAAACAAACAAAGAAAAAGGTATATAATACAATTTTAACATCCTGGGCTGTTCCTGAATCCACTGGCCTTGCTAATGCAGGGGCATCGAATACCTTAGGTTCACATCACTGGCCACACCCAATGTTAATACCTGTAACAGAAGCTCAGCCCAGATCTCCCTTATCTGTTCCCAAGATTCCCCTCCCTTGGTAGAAGTGCTGCTGGTGGTGATCAAGTTTAAATACCTGTAGCACTTACTGCTTTTTACAGTCTATATAGACACACGTGTAGCTGTATGTAATGAGGTGAGTGATTGTTAGTTGCTATCATAAGAAATAAAGAGTAATTAGACTAACTATATGGGTGGAACATTATTCAGTAGCATTAGGTCTGCCCACCTTTGCTCCCATATTGAAATAATGCAAGAAATCACAGTTAGGGTCCTTTCCCCCCTTCTGCTTTGGACAGGGGAAACAATAGTAAACAGGGTTATAGTTTGTGTTATAATGCATTTTTATGGTTCAGTTGTACTTTCAGTGGAGGTAATAAGGATTATTGCCGAAGAAATTGAAGTTTCTCTGAAGCATTCCCATGTTGTCTTCATAGTGACAATGTATGCTTCTTAGTGCATATTTCTAATATGGTTTTGTTAGCTGTCCTGAAGACACTGGCATGCCATGTGGTGGATTATAAGTAGAAATATAATTTTGTTAAATGATTTATGGCAATAGCTGATCAGAAGAGAAAAGCCTGTGACTTCCGAATGATATGGATATTATGGATTAGTAAGTCCCTTGGGGACAGAAGTGTTTGCATTTAGGAAAACTGCTATAAATTGCTCTGATCCTGATCCCATGGCTTTTATCTATAAAATGTCAAGTATGGTGTGTGAATGAACTTCTACATAAGTTTGGACAAACCTTGAGTGATTGAGCCAGCCTAAGAGTCCCCTGAGGAGTTAACTCATAATAAAATATCTTTGTTACGATGCCTTTCTGAACAAAATTTAAATATGGTTCAGGGCTACTTAAATTTTGGGAAAGTTTGTAAATTTGTAGTAGGAAGAATGTGAGTTAATAAGTGAAGATAAGCCTTCCCAAGGGTGCAGGGAAGGGGGGAGGGGGGTGAACATGTGTGTTCAGGAATGGACTGAAAGTTGTGTGCTAAAAATTCAAGAGTAGTTTTAGATCTGCAACTGTCATTTCTCCAGTCATTTCCCCCCTTGACTACTGTGCTAACTGATCAGGAAATACGGTAAGTTCGCTTGTGACTTTTATAAGGTATCAGTTATGATATAGACATCTGGCTGTATTGTCGTTTCAGGAAAAGCACAAGTACATGCCCTAAGAACCTGTCTGGAGTGTCCAATTCCTAGGTGATTTAGAGAGTAAAAACTCAGGGGCCATTCTCATATATTCTTCACCAAAAAGTTAATTCCATCAGTTTCTACATGGATTATTTGCCCCCAGTTTGATTCTGTCGGATTCTGTTGGATGCGTACATGCAACTCCGGGATTTTTTCATCTTTTCTGCACTCTTTCAAAAAAACTGCCACAGTGTGTAGTTTTGGGAAACAAAGCCCCGATTGCTGATGTGTGGGTGGGAAAGTTTGGATTTCCAGCCCACACAGCAGCCATTTCCCCTGCCCTCTTAGTGGTCATTTCCTCCCTCTGCCCCTGGGGGGCTTTTTTGTTTTTTCCCTGACCTCCCCCCCATGGCATCGCAACTCTCCCCTTCCTGTTTCCTAGCTGAGCCGTAATACAAACCTGTGTCTGCAGTGAAAGAAAACAAGCTTTCAAGCAGCGCTGGGACTCTCCCAGTATGTAACAGCTCCCACTCATCAGGCCAGTCACACGCTCGATTTGATCTTCGTGGCTGGGATTACAGTGGACCTGATTACTGCTATGGCTCCATGGTTGGACCACTATGCCCTGAAGACCCGAGTGAACATGTCACCCCAACCCTGTTTGGGTGGTGAACCAATTTTAGCTTGCCCGTGGAGCCAGATGGACCCAGAGCGGCTTCAGATGGCTCTCCGGGATTCATTGCCCCCTGGTGCCTCGTTAGATGAGCTAGTGGAGGATTGGAATAACCGACTCTCGACAGCCATTGACGAGATCGCTCCCAGACATCCTCTGTGCCCTCGATCTAGGCTGGAACCTTGGTATAACCAGGGGTTGAGGCTGATGAAGCGAGGACTCAAATGACTGGAGAGACAGTGGCGGCGGGCTTGTGACGAAGCAACAAGAGTATCCTACCGAACGTTTATAAAGTCGTATGAGATGGCAGTCAAAGCCACAAAGAAGGAGTTCTATGCAGCCGAGATTGCATCTGCAAACTCGCGCCCAGCACAATTGTATAGAATGATTCGGTCTTTAACCACCCTGCCACAGAGCAGACAAAATGTTAAGGAATTGGATATAGGCTGTGAGGCTTTTGCGAGTTATTTTGCAGATAAAGTCTTGTCGCTCCGCCGCGACCTCCCGGCCACACTTGAGACAATATATGAACTCAAGGCTCCAAGCACGTCTTCTGGTTCTATTCTGGATTGTTTTGGCCCTCTCAGCCTTGAGGAAGTCGACAGATTGGTCTCGACTGTGCGCCCAACCACTTGCAGCCTTGATCCGTGCCCCTCTTGGCTGATTAAAGCTGGCCGAGAGGGGTTTCGAGGTTCCCTTCGGGATATTGTTAACAGATCCCTCTCTAAGGGCCTATTCCCAGGGGCTCTCAAGGAAGCGACGGCCCGCCCCCTCTTAAAAAAACCATCCTTGGATCCGGCCGAATTGGCCAACTATTGGCTGGTTTCCAATTTGCCCTATCTGAGCAAATTAATAGAGAAGGCGGTGGCGATACAGTTGCAGGCCTTTCTGGATGACACTTTCACGCTAGATCCATTCCAGTCTGGCTTCCGCACGGGACTGAGACAGCTCTGGTCGCCCTCACGGATTATCTCCGAAGGCACCTGGATTGGGGTGGGACGGCGGTGCTCCTGCGGTTGGACCTATCGGCGGTGTTCGATGTGGTCGATCACCAGTTGCTCGCCCACCGCCTCGCCGACATGGGGATTCGGGGGCTCACCCTGCAAT